CAGGGCCCGCGGCGGCGGGGTTCGGCCTCGGGTCTTCCTTCGGGTCCCCGTGTGGGGACCGGCTCTCCCGTAGGGCTCGTCCCCTCCGTCGTGCTGGGTAGCGTATTTGACAGCACCGCACCCGAGAGGCCGCGCAGAGCGCTGCCCCGTGCCCAGCTTCCGTTTCGGCAGTCCGCCTCGGTCGGGACGCGCTGCCCTTTCCCGAAGGGGTTCGGCTGGACCGGGTGCAAGCGCCCTGGGCTCGCAGCCGTGACACCCACCGTGAAAAGCCTGGCGAACTTGAGAGCGGGCACCAGGACCGAGCCAACTAAGAGCAAGCAAAAAACACCCGCTTCATTTCCCACCAACTGCAGATTCTGCGTCGCCAAAACCAGCCACGTTTTCCTTCAGTCCCGCCGCAGGCTGCGCCAGGGACCCGTTAACGGTGAATGCGCTGGAACCATTTGAAGCCTTTGCCCGTGTAAGCTCCAAGTTCTCCCCTGCCGGAGAGTTAAACCGGTTTCCCCTCAGTCGGTACTCAACACGCTCAAGTGTGTCTGTAGAGCGAGCGCTGTGTTTTCTCATGCCAAGTTTTATTCTCGAGGCTAGTTTAAGCAGCAGTTTTAAATCATTTTAGTGATGCAGCAATTTCAACATCTGCAACTCATTAACTTCAAGCCTGCAGCTTCTCTGAAGCTAGTTATCGGTAGTAGATTCACAGTCACATACACCAATGAAGCCTGCAACTCGATAGGCATCTTCTTCTATAGGGCAAGACTTACCACGGCATATTATGCTGCTTATAGTATGCATTTCTTATAATATAAATTTTATTTATACTTACTACTTATATTGCATTTCTCCACAATTCTATCTATTCTTTGTGTTCTTGGTAACTTCTTATAAATCAACTGATTATCAAGCATAACCATTTCAGATTAGACAGTACTTCATGCAACATTTTATTGTAAAAATACTTTAAGATGAGATTTACAGTTCAGACCTCTGTAAGGTTAAGCGCATTTTACAAGTGTGTTCCATTCTGAATGAAGCCGTACTTCAAGAATTAAGACAAGAAAAGCTGGTCTACTGCAGATTCAGAAATTCATAGTTACTGAAACCATTAAGTGAAACCAACAAATACAGCAAAAGCTGGAGTAAAGCTATTGCTTGGTACTTTTATTCATACGCATGCAGAAGAGAGTGTAGTCAGTTTTGAAATAGCACTCCAGACAACGAAGCCTATGCTAACCAGAAAATAGTCTAAACTACTGCTAGTTGAACAACTCCGCAAGATAGACATTTAATCATTTAATGGCTGGACACTTTTATGAATGATCTTCTAGGCCCTTCGGCTTCACTGGTGCACTCTTATCTTCTCCATACAGGCAGCTCATTTTGCTCCTGCCTGCAGAGACTTCCTTTCATTAGCCGCTTTTTGTTTTTGCTGCATAATTTCAGAGTCTCTGTGAAGAAAAAAAAGTTGCATTTCAGATACTCGCTCGCTGCTTTTCTAAGTAGAGTCTCCTCCAGCTTGTTTTTGCCCTTCAGCAACCCCCATTTCAAGAAGGGAAAAAGATTAGTATAAAAACGTCTCAGTTAGCCATGAGCACACTGTTTCTATTATCCTTTTTTTTCCAGTACAGTACCCCATGAGGTAGACAAGTTACTTGATTAGTAGACCTTACATAAATTCTTTTAGTTTTAGAAGTAAAGGACACAATGGATCAAACATCTTCAAGAAAGTATTACACAATCTTTTCCTGTTCGTACCAGGCAAAAAGCTGCTCAAAAGAAGTAAAAGCTTTACAGGTCTTACCAAAAATAAATCTGTTTAACAGCAGACACAGTAAAACCTACATGCACGGTTTATGCTCTGGCATGTGAATGGAATGTGAATCAAGGCAAAGTACTTAAATGCTGTTTCAGCCAAGACACTGGATTCTTTCTGACCCATTTTCCCCTCCTATTTTGCCCAACCATTTCACTCAACTGTACTAGATTTTACCTCTGTTTTCTCTGAGAAGCAGACAAGCTATCCTCTTTCCTTTTCCCTTTGTGGATCTCCTGAGTCTTCTTCAGGTTCTTTTGGCGGGCAAGTTCACGCTGGTTCCCACCTGCAAGGTAATATACAGTTTATACAGGTACTACCACTTTTTTTTTCCCCCCACAGTTTGCCTGTGTAGAAGTCTATTACAAAGGTGGTAAGGTTTGGCTCAATCTGTAGAGTTGATACTGCAGTATCTGCTGTAGATGGCAGTATCGTCCATCACAGCCTCCCCCTTCAGTGCACAATGGGAGGCGTGAAAGCATGTGAGTTCTCACATTTACATTTCTACAGGTCATGTCCAAGAGATGACCAAAATCCATGGGAAACGCAATACAGTTTCCCATAAAAGACTGAAGGCCGACCATCCCATCAATAGCCCGGGCAAAATGAAGACAGTAACTCATCCAAAGAGGAGCCATCCTCTCTATCTCAAACAGATTCCAGCATCCAATATAGCTTACAAATTAATTTTAGACTGAAAGAACAGCATTAAAATGAGGTCAGATTGAGAGTTTATAAACTTCCTCAAGCTCTTCCCAAGGCTCTTTAGGAAATCAAAAGCAAATGGCTGTAAGTATTTGGAATCCAGAAACATCCACCTGCTTTCAGACTGTAGTACTGTCATGCAAAATCACTGATGGATTCCATCACATCCCATGGTCGAGCACCATGAACTTTTTAAGCCTTGCTTGTACTTAGTAATAGCAGTTAGGGCCCTTACATGTATTTGTAGAAAGGATACACTTCTGCAGATGCCACTTAGAAGATGACCAGTATAGTTAATACATATGGGAACTTTGGCTTTACTTTTTATTGGATAAAGTCCCCAAAACTACTTAACACAGGACTCATAACGTATTATTGAGCACTCATGCCCCAGAAGCTCAGCTAATGCTATCAAATGCTAAAGTTGCCTTACTCTGGGAACCATGAAAGCAGAGAAGAACACATAGTACACAAGCAGCTCTATGTAGGTTTAATTCGTTTTTGCCCCAAGGCAGCTGACATGTATGCAGTGTAAGGCTACAGCAGCTATGGAGCTTCAGCCCAAGATTTTGTTTACCTACCATATACCACAAAGCCCCCTGCAAAAGAAGTGGGGCTGACAAAGCTGAAGTTAACGCATAACCAAAACTCCAGTTCTTCATCAAGACACCGCGTTCAGAACGAAACAACTTACCACTTTCCCAAAACAGGTGTGTGCATACGTCCCTGCACAGGGTGGACAACCCTAATGCTGTTCACATGCGAGAGTATTTTCATGCCATCAAAGGAATTAGCAAACAAGCATTTGGCAAGGTTCCTTCCATGCACTATTACAGGCTTCTGTTCACAGCTTTCTTTCCCTTGCATGCTTTTTAGATTTCATTGTAAACCAACATCTGTTTTTTTCAACCTTCCTCATTTTATGAGTTTCCCTATGTAGGTGTTCCCTTAACTTGGCAGCAAGGGCACAGTTACAGTTGTTCTACCTACTTTCCTTGTGATGGACTGCTAGTCCATTCAATTAATTACACTCAAATACTATTAAAGAGGTGACCTCAAAAGACTTTTTTATTTGAAATCAAGCGCAGCACTTGAGCATGGCCTTAGCAAGTGCTTAGCCTCACTTTCAACAAAAGTGAGAAAAGTAACATTATATAGATATAAAGACACAAAAACACATCACTGTTGCCAGTATAGAGGACACCTTCAGGGAACAGCCAGCTTTCCCCAGGACTACCAATCCCCTGAACTGCTGACAAGTTAGCCATGCAATCTTTTTGATCAGACAACATTCCTGACCGCATGACATCAAAACCAGCACAACACAACTGCTGCTCAGAGCAAATGCAACTCTCCATTTAAATAGTCAGGGTCTTCCAGGCAACAGCCACAGCTATCACAATTGGAAGCTCTTCTGCATTAGCTGACAATCTTTCCTTAGTATGCACCTCCTTATGGCAGTTCTAGTCTGCTCGAACCTGCCAGAGCTGGTTCAGTTGCTTGGTATTTCTTCTTGCCCTGCTTCTTTTGGACTCAAGAGTGTTCCAGATATGCTAGGCATAATCACTTGTGCTGTTGAACAAACATGATCACATTTTTCTATACTCAAAAATGAAAGCTCCATCTCCCCATAATTTCTGTTGTGCCTCTTTTCAGTCTCTCTCCAGTCTTAAAACTACCTATGTCGTCATCTTTCAATCTCGAAGACAGAGATCTCTCCAATCTTCAGGTGCCTGTAGTTTCAGGTATATGGAAGCAGTTTAGGACTAGGTCAATTTTAAACAGCAACCTGTTGATACGATCCACAGCTTTGTAGTCACCCCGTTTCTGAGCTGATAAAGGTACCTGCCATGTCAACAAGTAGAAAAGAGCAACCCTGCAGAAGCAGGGGTTCTGTGCACTCTTCACACCAGCATGTGTACTGTCTGGCAAGAGGTGCCAGAAGCCCAAACAAAAACAGCGTGTTATGACTGCTGCTTCCTGAGGGCTGCTCCTGCCTTGGAAGATATACCTCATCTGTGACAGGACATCAAGTACCACATTTTGAAAAAGCTAAGAGAACTCCTGCTCCATCTTCCTCACTAGCATTCAGTGAGATCCTGTCCCCAAAGTCCATGCAGAAGAAGGGCCACTATTTGTTCACAAACTGAAGTAAACCAGCTGTCTGTCTCTGGCAGTACTGGTGTTGATTAGAACTTGATGACTCATGAGCAGATGATACATTCCAGGCTATAAATGGTTCTTGAGTTTTGTGGTGCTCAGGAGGCATGAATATCACATGAACAAGTTAGCAGCAATGAAACAGCTCTTCTGCGGTGCTTAAAGAAATGACATAGCTTCTTTTATCATGAAGAAAAAGACGCAGGAAGTCAAAACACACTGCTATAGTCAGAATTCATATAGCAGTTATCCTCCACCCTTAACCTTAAGCACCTCCTTCCTTTCCAAGCAAACACTGTGCGGGTGTCTGCAGAGTTACTCCATACACATAGTAAGATTGTAAACTTAAAGAACCAAACTGAATGGCGTCACTGAAAAGCTTGGCTGCCACTTCTGCACAGCAAAGCAGAGCAGATAGAAAAGTAGAGCAATACAGTGTGCACACAAGGCATACAGAGCCAAACAACTATTTGAAAAGAAACTTACTTGTACCATCCCTGCTTCCAAGTAAACATTGCCAAGGACTGTTTGGCCCCAGTACTTCACCTGGGATGCTGCATGAGTATCCCTAGCTCCAAGGGAGACGGTGCTGTTTTCTACATCCTGTAACATCAACCTAAATCTTCCATGAAGTGTGGTCCAGTCCTGACAGAAGACAATTCAGCTTCCTGTAACGTGAAATTCAAGCATGAACTGCCACATAAAGGCCAATACACCCTCCCTGCTTATACCTATGCTTGAGCACCCCCATCCCTGCCTGCCTCTTCAAGACATATGCCTTAGTGCAAGCTGTCCCTGCTCTTCCAACTCCAAGATCCAGCTATTCTTGAAGAGAAAGATAAGTAAAAGACCTCTGAATAGCACCGGAACGAATAGTAATCATCTCTACTGTAAGGAGGTCAAAGAGAGTGGCAGTAAGGATTGGCTACCAAGGTCATCATCCCTGGAGTTCTTTCTCAGCAGCAAAGGATCTAATCACATGTCAGAACTTAAAGCAGAAGAAAAGTGCCTGCCGCCATGTCCCAAAAATAGAATGCAAAAGTAAGAAGAGCAGTTTTGATGCAAGCAGGAGGCAATAATGGAAAACAAGCAAC